AAACTCCCCCGACACGTGTAAGTTCCACTTCTGTCACATTCTGATCAGTCAAGTCGGCTGCTGACATGAGCGATATCAGCGTCATCGCAGTCATCAGCCACCACCGCGACAAAGGCGCCTGACTCAGCCACACATTATGCTAGAGCATTTACACTGGGATGATCAAAAAGGAGTGTAGACGGGACAGGCATGCGGAAGTGCTCGCTAATATTGCGCGCCAGCTCCGTTGCCGTCAGAGAATCCAGCCCGACGGACATAAGTGGCGCGTCGAGCGTCGCTGAGGTTCCGTTCAGCTCAAGAACTAGTGATTCCACCACCACAACGACGCTTGCCGGGTTCGATGAAGCAAACTGTTCTTGAGTTGGATCCGCACATACAAGCTGAGTTTGTGTTTGGTGTCCCTAGATGAATCCCCTCCGATCAGAAGTATGCAGCACACTAGAGAGAGCATTTACAGTTGGGTGGTCAAATAACAAGGTCGAAGGCAGGTTAGAACTAAACCTGATGCCCAGGCTAGCCCCGAATTCACTCGCAGAGAGGGAATCGAAGCCAACAGCCATCAACGGAGCGTCCTCATCAACTCTTGTTCCGAGTGTTTCAGAGACCACGGTGATCAGCTTGTTCACTCGAGCACCTCCCGCGCTCGAAGGTGAGCGTTTCGATCACATGTTGAAATCGCACGTATTGCATACGATTTTGCAGGCCAATGGAAAGAAAGTCTTCCTACTTGGAGTTATTTGTAGTGTTGCTACCGAGTGGAGAACTGGACCGCCCTATGCGTGGCTATCTTTGTTCCAGGGTCATTCAGAGAGAGAATACAGCCTCACAAAAATAATTTTGCCTGCGCATAATCCATCGTTTTGCTTGCGGCAACGCACCCGTGCTGTCAATTGAAAACTGGTTTGTGAATATGATTTTGGTACGCGCACTTGACAAACCCGACGCAGGGGAAGTAAATGAGTGCAGCTTGCTTTTAGCAACGAGCACCAAGGAGAAAAGTGCAAGTGGGCATGCAGCACAAGTTGGATGCAAAAAACAACAAACTTTGAAAGCAGGGATTCTTACTTGAAGCCACTTCTTCCATCTCAGTTTGAGAGTTTGCGTTCCTGGGGCCTCTTGAAACAGGCGACTCGCCTTAATGAGTCTAGAAATGCAGATTGTTGGTGATAATCCTTCGAGGTAGAACTGCGATGACACGAGCGTCTAACTAATCTATGGTTGGCGCCAATGCGCTGGTTTCTTGCTCCGACGAAAGGAAAAATCCCCTTGTGTGATTTCCATTCCATGAACTGCGAAGAAATCGAATGCGACTGCGCCGAGCCGGTCTGCGATGACCGGAGGGCCCGCGCTTGAAATCGGCGGAACGATAGCCGCACTGATCTTCCAGCAGGACCAAGCTCATTCTGAAGGGTGCAATTTGCCTGGCTTTCGCAGGGCGTGTATATCAACCCTATCGTCTGAACCACAGCGAAAGACAAACAAGGGCGCCCGTCGTTTCATGCAAGCAGAACAGAGTTGATCCCCGCTGGGACATATGTCTCTTGCGTTGACGACACCGGCTCTTGG